TAATAAAATGTCTTTCTTAAGTAGGAAACAGTTGACTTCTACAAGGGGTGTATCTTTAGTGGTGCATCCACTATAGATTTTTTTTACTAATATATAAAGAGTTAAGTAACAACCCTACATGAATAAGAAAATTCAACCCCCTCCGATTTTAAATTACACATTTTTATTATTAAACGACTTTAATTCTTAAGTGGCGGTTTTCATCTGCGAGGGGTGTACCTTTTTGTGGTGCATCCCCTATTTCTATTTTCTTTATTAATAATATATGAAGGATTGACCACCACGTTGCATACATGAATAAAGAAATTCAACCCCTATCCGTTTTTCAATTACGTATTTTTTAATAACATGCTCTGTTAGGTGCCAGTTGACCTCAACAATGGATGAATCTTTTGTGGTGCATCCACTATAGAATTTTTTTAACTAATAGTGTATAAAGGGTTGATTAACAATCCTGAATACACGAATAAGAAAATTCAACGCACTCCGATTTTAAATGACACATTTTTTTATTAAACGACTTTCTTAAGTTGCAGTTTTCATCAACAAGGGGTGTACCTTTTTGTGGTGCATCCACTATTGCTATTTTCTGTATTAATAGTGTATGAAGGGTTGACCACCACCTTGCATACATGAATAAAAAAATTCAACCCCTATCCGTTTTCAATTACGCAGGTATTTTTTAATAAAATGTCTCTCTTAAGTGGCAGTTGACCTCTAGGAGAGGTGTCTCTTTTGTGGTGCATCCACTAGATAATATTTTTTAACTAATAGTGTATAAAAGGTTGACTAACAACACTGAATACATCAATTAAAAACTCAACGCTTATCCCCAATTTTAAATTACAATTTTTTTAAATGACACGTCTCTCTTAGAGAGTGGTAGACCTCTGCAAGTGGAGTATCTTTTGTTGGGCATCCCCTATTTTTATTTCTTTGATTAATAATGTATAAAGGGTTGACTCAAAACTCAACTGCAACTCCTAACCGATCTTAAATTATAATTTTTTTTAATGAAACGTTTCCTAGGAGGCTGTTAACCCCTACATGGGTGCATTTCTAGTGGTGTATCCACAGTTATGGTTTTTTTGATTAAGTATAAAGGGTCGATTAATAACCTCAAATACATAAATACAATTTTTTATCTGTATCCAATTTTAAATTAGGTATTCTTTAATGGAACGCCTCTCTTTGATCACAGTTGACCACTACAAGTGGTGAAGTGGTGTATCTTTTGTGTTGCAGCTACTTTTTTTATTTCTGTGATTAGTAATGTATAAAGGGTTGATTAAAAACCCTGAATACGCATTTAAAATTAATGTTGGTGTTACTGTATATGTCATTTGTTGGTCGTTTGTGGTGACGGGGGTAAATGTAGATTATTGACCGAAACGTACATGTAAAATAGAATTGCATCATGTAAAGGACAATTTCGGGAAAGTTATTTCACTTTCGACCTTCATGAAATAACTTTTAGCATATAAAACGGGCTTAAGGCCACAGTTCGCAATTTTTTTTTAATGATTTCTGCTTAAAATGAATTCTTGTATGCACTTTTTAACGTGATTTTTCTACTTGAACATTTTTAATTTATTTAACGCTACAGCTTTTAAGTTCAATTTAGCATTCTATTTGCTTCGAGATTTTATGCCATCTACGTATTTTCTTTATAAGCTAGTGTAAGATTAATCTTCTTATAGATTTTCAGTTACCTTCCTTCATTCCTTTGCCACTAGAGCTTACGTTCTGTACCTTTCTGCAATTAATTACATACCTTCTTCTTACGTACAAGCTGCACTTGTACCTTTATAGAATATTCTGATTTTATAGTGGTTGTTTCCGAGCTTCTTTAATACGCCCTTACTTTGACTATTTCGTCATTACCTTTAAAAGGGATTTTTCGTATCGGATATTACAATAGTTCTCTGAAGCCCCCAAAATTCTTAAAGTACGAAAGTGTGCAATTAAAAAAAAAAATGTAAATGTGCCGATCTCGTTCAACCATTTCTAACATTGAACATTAGCAAGTCGAGTGGAAACCTAGCTGCACGTAACAGCAGAACTTCGACAAAGAAATCCTTTGATTTCTTTTATAAAAAGCAAGCGACACTCCGCTCCAATATTAATAGATCCATATTTATGCAAAAAAAAGAGGAATGTACAACCCCTGACAAAAGAATTGCTTAGCGCCGGCGAGATTATGCAAAGTGCGTAAGTAAGAGCGCGTCTCTTCGCCCCAAAAATATACCAAATTTATATGTAAATACTTTCGAAATGCGAAACGTTTTCGTAAACAAGAAGGGAAAATTTGCGCAGGGCTCGCTTCTATTAGCGTTTTTAAAAAGTGTGACCGATATCAAATATCCGAGACAGAAAGCCGCATACGGACTGTAATATTTCAAAACTCCGAAATAAACAAATATATATGTAAATTGATGCGATAAATGTGACGACTGAAAAGAAGTAAATATATTTTTTATATACGTTTTCCTACTCGGGAAGCGGATGATGGCAGTAAAATAGTTGCACTTTTGATTTCTTCAAAAATCGCTTTAGTCGTCGTTATTAACTTTTATGATTCTTATTCCATTAGCAATAAAATTGCGCGTCTTCGGACAATGCAAGGGACAGTGCGCCCTCCGTTAAGAGAAAAAAAAAGTCAATTGTTTTTCTGCTCCGCCTTCAATTAGAGAATGTTGGAAGTTTGCTAATGAACTTGTGCGGGCAATTACGAACAAATGTCCTAAAGTGAAATTTGTGATACTTGCGATAAACCTAATTCGCGTGGGAATTATGGCGACCGCGGATATATTGATCAAGCGAACGGGACGCAAACATTGATTTATTTAATTTCGCATTGTCCTGCGGCAGTTTAATTCGAAGTTAAGGGTTTTTGCGCTAAACTTTGGTAAGCGGATTAATGGCAAAGATCGTCGATTCGCAACGGAACCTTAAAATGCAACTGCACTTATTCGCGACTGCAGAATTTCGATGTCTTGCCTTTATCCTTAGGAATATTGGAAAACCCTTTTTCCAAGAAAATTCGATTACGCTTTGCCGTTTTGGCAACGTGGTCCCCTAGCAATTTCAAAAAATAACTCACCTATTTTTGAAAATTTCCAAAAAAAAATAGGTACAAAAAATAAAGTTAGCAATTGTAGTAGATTAAGCTGGTGGCGTTTTCCTATACTGCCCGGTTTTCGAGTTATAGCACAAGCCTTTCATTTTTAAAATATATAAAGAGTGCGACAAATTGAGGTTACTAATGGCATTTTAATTAGATTAAGTCTTAAGGTTTTCCCAAATTGCCAGGTTTTAGAGTTGTGCTTTTTCAAACATTATAGTTTTTTCGATATCACTAAAAACAAGTGAACTATTTTGCAAAAACTAACAGGCTATCCAAGATTAACTAAAACGCCAAGCGCAGTTGACGTTTCTTGGAATAGTAGGAGAATTTGAAAACAGGTTCCCAATATTTTCACGAAAAAAATGTTGGTTCCTCTCTAGGGATAGAAAAACTGCGACACCCTGTGCAAGATACAAAAGGCGCTATAGTCATGCACACTTTTTATTTATGAATTTTGTTTAGCAAAACTGAAAACTAAAAGCAACTGCTATTGTGTTAATAAACAAAACACATAACTAATTTGACATTAAACATTGGCAATCTAGTAACAAAGGAAATCTTTTACGAATTTCTTGCTTTCCTTACTATTGTAATTGATTTAGATCCATTTTACTCCAAATTATGGATAGGTGTTAAAGAAAAGGAATGAAAACCAAACAAAACTAAGAACAATACTAAAATTGATATGGTATGACTTTAAGAATGTTTGTTAGTTGGCCATGGCACGTCGTCATGACGGAGAAAAACAGTCGAGCACTAAAGAAGTGACACAAGCCATGGCCAACTAACGTTAGTTCGTAAAATCGTACATTTTTACATTAATAACAACATTTCTCAAAGTAAACCAGCCTGAGTTACATAATAACAACTCACACTGAAAAATGTGGTAATTTGTATTGCAAACGTAACTTTTGGCACAGAAATTCAAATAGGTAACAAAGGCTTAATTTAAGCATAGTAGGGTCTCGTTTCTCTAGGTTGAAATAATGTCGACGATGAGGGCGTGCCACCCTGTAGCTGTAAACGTAATCTAGGTTTAGCATTAGAAGTTCCAGGCAAATTTGTTTAGGACCTGAGGGAAACTCTTTCAAATTGGCACACAATTTGAGGATTCTATTTGATGGCCATTGTGATGGTTCTTTGTATTATGAATTTGGGATTTGTGTAAGTGTCCTCTAAAGGTTGTTGTTGTATTTGATGAGTGTCAAAAATTCAGGGGGCGCATCAATAAGGAAGCATTTAATGTTGAATGCAACGCAAGAATACATTTTATCTGGACTAATGTGTGCGTAATAGTTATTTGTACAACTAGAGAAGAAAGTGGAGTTTTTCAACTCAAGTTCAAAGTGTGTGTCAATTGAAAAACACTTTCTTCTCCAGTTTTACACATATTTTTTTCTGAAACAATCAAAATAATGAAATTTGGCACTTAGTAACCTAGATACGGGTATATTGTCATTTGAAATGTCATTATTAGGATTAACGCAGCAATTGTTTTTTATTTTCCTCACTAGAGAGGAAAATCACATTTTCTTCCCACGTTTTACAGACGAAAGTAGTTGTTTCAAAAGTAGTTTAAAAAAGCCATTTTTGGAAAAATGAATTGGCCGGGCGTGATAAAATAACACCTGCATAGTGATCGATTTTGCGACGAAGTTAGCTCTTCGGGTTTCGACGTGTAACAACGATGCGGATTATTGGAGTGGAGGTGGTGAATGCTTAAATAAGTGGAGTAAAGTAAGTACGTAAGGAATATTGGATCGTCAAGTACATAAATAAAATAAATTATAAAAAAATACAAACATCAGATCTTATTGCCCGCACTGGTCAAAAGTAATCGCACTTTTCCAGCTCACAGATAATCAAACACTCCAATTTATTGTTAATTGAGATAATCAAAAACTTGGGTTGGTGTACGTTCACGTGCAAAACTAACCCAGAATCCCTTTTGAAAATCATCATCACTTCTTTCAAGACACTGGCTTGGTTTTGTCTTTGGAATTATACAAACGGCACCGGCCTGTTGAAATTCCCTCTGTGGAACATTTATGTTGTAGGCGTTACTCCATTGTATTATTTTATCGAGGCACGCACATTGCAAAGGGTTATCAGCTATGGTAAGTACGGATAATTTAGGTCGTATTACGTCCAAAATTTTATCAGATATGTAGGTTATGTTATTATTGTCAATAATCACTCTCATAAATTTCACAGGGATGGCGAAATTAAATTCAAAACTTTTTAATTTGTTCTCAGCTAAATTCAAAGTTATCAAATTTCCTAATCCTTTAAAGGCGTCTTTGTCCACGAACTCTATTTCATTTCTAATAAACCACAGTTCCCTAATAGCTGGCAGGTTGGTAAAGGCACCTCGTGGAATCTTGCGCAAGCGATTCTGGCCCAATGATAAGAACTGAAGGGCTGGCGTTCTATAGAACCAGGCTTGCTCAAAATGTTCCAATTGATTTCCGAAAATAGATACTGTAACTAAGTCTGGAAGATTATTAAAGGCACGCGGCGACACATCTGTGATCTTATTATAGTCCAGGTACACTTCGGTTAACGACTGCAAATCTTGAAATGCGTTTTCACTAATCCAGAAGATTTCATTGCCCACGAGAAAGATGCGATGAAGTTGGGGAAGATCCAAAAAGGCCCCTTCTCTTATAATCTCGATGCTGGTATTGAAAAAGTCGATACGAAATGGACTTGAAATTCCCTGAACCGCACCGTAATTTAAATTTTTAATATCTTGATTTTTGGCAGTTATCGTGGAAATTGTACCTTCAAATGGAATGGTGTCAGGTGAAATACAGCCACTTATTTTTATACTATCACCATTTACCTTTATTATATTGTTTTCGAAGCTAGGTACTGTACATTGCATCGAAATTTTAAGCAACGACAGTATCAAGCAGGTTTTGATCATAGTGAGGCGGTTGGAAACTGAGTATCTATCGGACGATACGCTATTTTATTATAGATTTGATCATATTGGGGCAATTGAAAGGTTAAAGGGTATCAAATATCTCGCGATTGTACGAAACCGAATTAAGACAACTAATAGGTCATGGAACATATTCTTCATAATTGGGTTCCTTCCAGATTTAGCAAGTCTCCTTCCTTTAAACGGAATTAAAGGCTTCCGAAAATCAAATGGATACTATGGAACAGACGCAGTAACTTGTCGGTTGGGCCAGTGTCGCGGAAGTCGGTACTCACAAAGCCAAGGTGAGGGGATGCATGTAGCGGAACCACATTCGACCTGGTCAGATCATTAGCAACCGAGGTGTGGTGCATGTAGAGAACTAAGTGTCGGAAGTGGGTTTTCATAAAAAGAAAATTGAAGGTCTTGACAAAACGAGTCTGGGTCTACGTCCGTTAAAATTTTTAGGTTCTCATTGGAGATCCTCAAGAGTTCTGAATGTTTCTTTAATACAGTTTTAGCTGCGGAAAACTATTTTGCATTTATATTATAGCACACTATTTCGCATCAAAATATGAAAAAATCTAATTTCGCAATACGCTCAAGTTTCTCGAAGGCAACAATAAAAGAATAGCTGGACGCGACGCAATTCGTCGTTGCAAATACCTACATCAATCGAATTCGCAAATGAGCTTAAAAGATCATATCGGCCTGCTCATTATTTATTTGCTCGAGGCGGCAACCCTTTATGTACCTCGGTCCGTTTTATTCGAGAGCTTTTGGTTTCCCATGTACAAATTGTGTGATAATTGTAAATGCGAACTCTTTTTTCCAAATTTAAATTCCGCTTATTTACACAGCGCACTGCGGCTATTTAAAATGTAAATGTCCACAGTGAACAATGATCGAGTAATACAGGGACAATAATGTTTATTATTCTTTAAGTGTACTGAGAGGAATATAAACGAATCGCGCGCCCTCTACATAATTTTAATTTTCACGAGCTCGTAAATGTGTTCATTTAGTAGGAGACAAAAACACGAACGGTAACCCAAATGGTGTCGATTAATAATTTTTGTATATGGGGCTTTAAAAAAAAAGTTTACCGAATAAAGAGCACGCAATCAAGCACTTTCTAAGTTCATATTCTCTGGTAAATTTAAATATTTGACGTGCCAACAAAGTTTAATTTTACTTACCTATTCCATTTTACGGAAAATTAATGTTCCATCGCGTTTTCCCTCTCGTTCAAACACAACACCACCCCGCCTTGCGTGTCCGTAAACGCGGCCCCATAATTATCTACTTGTTTTTCGTTATTGCGCCCACATTAACGTAATCACTCACAAAAGTAGCGTTCGACGATATTAGTTATGCTTATCAATAGCGGACCGACTGTATTTTCGAAATCAATTGTTTAATGTACTGACGCTATTAAGGCCATTAGTGATCGATTTGCCTATTTAATGGATGGCTTGCTTTCTTCGAAGGGAAAATTGCTTCGAGTGAAAGTTTAGTTTGTGTAATTTAACGGACGAGAGCTGCTTGGCTTGGGGCACTTTGAACAGCTATTTGGAAGTTTTAACAAAATGCTAATTTTGGGATAATTTTAATTTGCTTATACCGTATTATAATGGAGATATGGTTATTTTCGACGGTTAGGTACCGAACCCATCCTTCCCTTTATCAGTAGCCGATTCGAAATTATTTTATTATTGTAATTAATTAAACCCTAAAACTGGAAACTGAAGCTTAAAGCTTAAAATTTGACACTTAAAATCGAGAAAGCAATGGGATCAGCCGTTACACGTTTTTAATATTTAATATAAGTCGGTTAGAGGCGGCAGAATGGCTCTTCCTACGTAAATCATTATTACTGGCGATTTTAACGTCAAATTCAATACTAAAGATGAAAAAGCGCACCAGCTATGTAACATTTTTCTAACGTTTGGGTTGAAGCAGTCCGTTTTTGAGAACACTAGAATGCAATCATGTCTGGACAATATTTTTACAAACATTCCAGACTTTTCAGTTACGGTCTTTGATACATATTTTTCTGATCACAATGCTGTTGGTTTTACCCTTGGCATCACTTCCCATAAATATTGTAGTGGAAATAATGGTAGAATTACATATAGACCAATCACCAACATTGGATTATTTCGCATGTATAATATATTAGAATATGTCAATTGGGAGTTTATCAGTGACGAACGAATTGATTCCGAGACTAAATTCGATATGTTTTTAAAACTTTTCTCAGAGACTATCGTTACCACTTTTCCTCTAAAGTGTAGGCTTGCAACTTCTACTTCCAGGGAAGTAGGTAAACTGGTTTACTGATAGCTTAAAGCAACTACGTTCAACACTGCAACTCTGTAGTGATATGCTTAAATCTAATTCGTCTCTAGTCACAAAGGAGATGCTCAGAAATGTGAAATTGAGATACAAAAATGAATTATCAAAAGCGAAAAAGATGACAAATGATAAATTCATAAAAAACTATAAAAATAAGGTAGCTGCGATGTGGCAAATCATTAAAGGCAAGAACACAGCAAAATTTGAACCATGCGCTGAACTGAATTGTAACATTTTTAATGACTATTTCATTGACTCAATTGATAACATTGTTAACAATATTCCAATAGATCATGATACAGATCCTTTAGATTTTATGGAATTGAGCCATTTTACCTTTAGCTTTAAAGAAGTGGGCTTTAGTACAATTAGGGAGTGTATCGATCGACTAAGAAATAGCTGTAGCAAAGATCATTATGACATTACTGTAAAAATTGTGAAGTCAATGAAGGATGTTATACTATATCCATTGACAAAGTTAATTAATAAATGTATTGCGAGTGGTACGTTTCCTTCCGTATTAAAAATTTCTAAAGTAGTACCAATTTTTAAAAAAGGTTGCTTGTCTGATCCTAATAACTATAGAGCTATTTCTTTGACGCCCGTGTTTAGCAAAATTTTTGAATCTGTTTTAAAACTTCAAATGGAAACTTATTTCGAGGATCATCATATAATTAGTCAATCGCAATTTGGGTTTAGAAAAGGGAAGTCTACTGCTCTGGCTGTGAGTAATTTAGCAAGAACAGTTATGAAAGGATTTGAAAATAAAAAATACATTAGTTTAGCAGGTCTTGATTTTACCAAAGCATTTGACTGCGTATCACATAAAATCTTAATCGATAAACTAAGAAATTATGGTTTTGGAAACAAAAGTGCACAGTTAATCCACTCTTATTTATCAAATAGACAACAGTATGTAATTTACGATAATGGTGTTTCAAAATTGTCACAATTAAAGCACGGTGTGCCACAGGGATCTGTTTTGGGGCCCATCTTGTTCCTTATATATATTAATGATCTTCCCCATTGTGACCTATACACCGACCACATTATGTTTGCTGATGACACTTCTCTTATTAAACAATTTGATAGTGAAGAAGAAATCAATGAGTGCATGAAGTTAGGTATAGGAAGAGTTGATAAATGGGTAAAATCAAACAGATTATCTTTAAATGCATCAAAGACACAAACCATGACACTGACGCTAAGGAAACAAAAAATCATCAATCAAAATTCAGATTTTAGGATATTGGGAGTAACGTTAGATCCACATCTGACTTGGAACAGACATGTAGCTATTCAAACTGCTAAATTATCTAAAGCTATATTTGTTATCAGGAATCTTAAAAGAGTTGCTTCAATGGAAACTGTAATTTCAGCCTATTATGGCATTTTTCATTCAATTTTATCATATGCAATTCTTGCATGGGGCCATTCGAAACATGCAAATACTTTATTTGCCATACAACGGAAGTGTATCCGAATAATAAACAAGTTAAAAAGTAATCGTAAACGATTTACATAAAGCGCATTTCCACTTGCATTCATTTCCCATTTGTAAGATGCAACTTCTGTTAAAATCGTAAAAATCCGGCCCCAAATATGAAAGATAGCGTTGCACATGGGCAATCCATTTTTGACGTGCTACTTCAATTTCAGTTTACGAGAAGAATTTCATTGCAATGCTTTTCTAAATAAGAAAGTTGGAACTGCGCATGCGCAAACCTAAATTTTAAAACTAATGTTAGATTTTCCTTTGTTTCAAGCGCCTAAGTATCAAATTTCACTTAAATGGTTCCATAGATAAAAAAGTTGGCACTGCGCATGCGCAAAATAAAATTTTGAAACTGGCGCTAGATTTTCCTTTATTCCAAGTGCCTATGATCAAATTTCGTTTAAATTCTTCCATAAATAAAAAAGTTGGCACTGCGCATGCGCAAAACCAAATTTTGAAATTGGCGTTTGATTTTCCTTTATCCCAAGTGCCTATGTATCCAATTTCGTTTAAATTCTTCCATAAATAAAAAAGTTGGCACTGCGCATGCGCAAAACCAAATTTTGAAATTGGCGTTTGATTTTCCTTTATTCCAAGTGCCTATGTATGAAATTTCATTCAAATACTTTTATAAGTAAAAAAGTTTGCAATTCGGTTTATAAATGGTGGAGATGCGAAAAGGGCACTGTGAATTTTGAATCGATTCGATTCAACTTTTGGCATTGCGTATTATATGGCTAAATCTATGCCCATATTGAATTTCATGCAATTCAGTTCATAACTAACGGAGATGTAAAAGCGATCGAACATTTCTAAACAAAGTTATCGTTCACACGGACAGATAGATGGACAGACAGACAAAGGAACAGACGGAGAGACCAACCGGCAGGCGACAGATAGCAATGCAAAATTATAAACGATCTCTAGGATCGTTAATAAACGGCAAAAGTGTAAAATTATGGAACATGTAAAAAACGGTTTTTTGTTTTTTTTTGCAATAACTTTTTTTGTAAGCTGTACAGAAAAAATTCCTTCCTTGGTACAAGACTCGACACCATAACGAACCAAATAGCGAAAAAAGTAGAACAATTAAATAGCTCTTAAGATAAAGAACTCGTAGCGTCGCAAAACGAGCGGACGGACGGACGGA